ATGTTGTGACCTTTTTCGTTTAATACATACGGTACACAGTATTAATATTGACGAAGACTACCTTTATATCGTTAATACAAAATTTGCATGGTATTCACTGTTAAGAAGGACTGCATATTCAATTTTATCTTTCTATTCAATTTCTGCAATATTATATTTCGGTATTTTTACTGTTGGCCTTTAAATCATTTAATATGTTGTAACGGATTCTACATACAAATTAACTACATATTCTTAAAGTTTGTATTCTTCTAAAAGTAACAAATTGCAACATATCTGATGTTATACCATAAACGATCCACTGTTGAAATTTAATCAAATTATTCTACAAATTTGAGTATTTTTTTCTAAGAAGGTTCTGAGAAGGTTTGCACGTTGAAATATTATAGTAACAAGCTTCCCAATTATGCTTAAATCGACATTCACCATTCGTTTTTAAACATTGCCTTTAATTACATATATATGATTATTTATTTATACCAGTATATTAGTATGTAATTGAATGTAGATAATTAACGTTGGAAAACGATAAGAAACATATGAAAACTTGATATAACAAAATTTTGCGCAATCTTTTCAAGGTTGGAAAGTTGTGATATGTATATGCTATAGAAATAAATCTATCTCAATTAAGATTGAAGTACAGAAATCACATTTAATGTTGTTAAACAAGAGCGGACACATATATAAGTCATTTTATCGACAATAAGTACTTACTTATGTTTAACTTGTAAATGAAAAGAAATGTTTTAGTGTGTCAATGGATAGGCAATGATAAATGCGGACTGTCAATAAATAAAAGGGATTGAAAGTCTTTCATCTTCGTATTCCGTTATTATAATATCTGAAATATTTTCAAATGAACGGCGATGGTTTTGTTAAATTAATTTGCTTAACGCGTGTTCTCCATGAATTAACCGAAAATCTTAAGATTTAGACGTCCCTATTTTACAAGTGAAATCTTTCCATTACAAAGAAATGACCTTACTAACAGTTCCTTACATCATATAACAAAAGCGATATCTTAATTACAATTACAAATAGCGCTAATGGACTTGTTGTTTGTTCATTAAATATTATAAAAGCATATACGTTTAGCTACTCAATAGAAATGAATAAATGCAATAAACTATTGTAATTTTCATTGATGTAAATAGCTATATACATGTATATTTCCTTTTGTTCTTTCTAACACATTTGTTTTCTGAAACCATCTAAAAATACAAACATGGGAACGTGGTACCGTACGCATATGCATTGCATGATAGAGTGGTTCATATTGTTGACGCCTCTAAGATGATTACTCAAAGTTTCCACATAGTATGTTTTGAAAGTCAGCAAGTACGAACATATGAACAATATGTGATTTAATTGAACGTTCGCATATGTCAAAAATCGAGTTTAGGAGTAAAGCCCCAGGAGAATCGTCCGTGTGTGTCATTTTGTAAATCATTAGTTTCCTTTATCGAATTACCTTATAAATGCGTCATGAAAGTCACAATGAAGAATAAGGGAACATTTGTTCAATGTCAGCGATGTTCTATTTTATTTATAAAAGAAGTTTGTACATCACGTTTTCCGATATAAATATTTTAAAACGATTGTACTTTTGTTTTTCAGAGCTCAAATTTACTTTGAATGTTCTTTTGTTATTATATTAAAACTGTATTTATTGTCAAAAACATTTTCCTAGTGTGCTTAATCAATAGCCAACTATGTTGTTTTGTTCCTCTGTAAGTGACAATTCTGTAAAAGTAAAAACAATTCATAATTTATATTAATGCTACACAGTTTTGTAAACCAATTTTTACAAAAAAGAAAATAAATAAATGAGTATATAAAGGAAAAAGAAACATATGATCTAGTGAAAATTTCCAAGAAACAATAATTGTGTTTTTCGGCAATGATTTATGGACACGACTTTCTTAATAAAGGAAAATCACTAGCTTCCTTTGCTACTACGTATCACTTTTCTTTGTAACGAGTTATCAATGTTTCCTCTGCAAAATACTTAAAATATACGCACATTTTGTCTTCTTGAAGATGAATCAGGCCGACATAGTTAAATGTATTACAGACATACTTTTATAAATGGAACGGGAACGTTGATACTTGTATTGTTTTGCATTGCTTGTAAACTGGCTCATTTTGTTTGCGTACGTGCGTGCGCGTGTGCGTGCGTGTGTGTTTCCTTGGGGAGGTATTGTTAAAATCTAATATGCGATTCTTGAGCCTAAAAACGAAAATTTAATTTCATATTTATTTTAAAAGCATATAAAGACTGTTGAAATAGTAAACATGTCTTAAAAATGTAAACGTGGGTTGAAATAAACAGAACATCTTCATACGAGAATGACATTTGTAAAAACATTACAGTGGTTTTCATGTAACATTTCTAATTTTGACGCAACCAATAGAGTTCCTACTTTTTTGTTTCTACATTAATTTACACATCATTTTATGGAATGCCTTAGGAATTTTACGTATATCTCGCCAGTTGAAAGGATCGATGGTTTTGAAATCATATTGAAAAGGCTTGAATTGTCTTTAAGAAAGCTTATGCCTCAAAAAACTACCACCTTTAGAAATAAGTTGTTCGCAATACTTTTCTATGTAGTATAAAACTACTTTAGTTTTCATTAAAATTCATTTTGTGGTCGGCGTTTTTTACATATGAAATATAACAGCTGGAATTGTCGACAGCGTGGAAATATCAAAATTTAAATTTTATAGTATTGTATGTTTATTTTCTTAATATAGTGGGGGTCCCCTTGACGATTTGGGTTTAAGGGTTTTTTTGCTTCAAATCAATTTTCCCCCATAATTTACTGAAAAGGGGCCCTAAAGAGGTTTGTCTCCGCCGCTAGTAAAACAAGAAAGTCGCCATATGAATTATTCTTTGTTAGTGCGACATAAACCTCGACCAAAACAAGCAACAAATTATTCTTTATAACTGGGGGAAAAATTTTAAAATTTTTCACTTGCGGAGTCCCTTTAATTTTCTAAAATTTTTTGAAATTTAAATTTTTTAATTACATGGGTTTTAAAAATATCTATGTCTCGAATTTAAAGGGGATTTAAAAAAGCAAAAGCCCCCTTGAAACTAAATAGCAAAAATTCAATACTTTTTGAGACAACAAAATTTAAAAAAATTTTTTTCAGAATTTCAAAACCAATAATTTCTTTTCGTATTTTCCAAAGAAATCATCATCGTATATCAGCAAATGTTGCTTAACGAGTTTAAGCGGTATGTTCTTGCAGAAATCATGTAATTTACGTGATGCGTTGATATTGAGGAATGCACGCATACAAATTTTATTTTTAATTTAAAGAAATTTCATTGACATACCCTTTTGCCTTCCTTTTTTAAAAATAATCACCTTTTTGTAGAAAGGAAAAAATGAAAAAAAGTGGGAACTTTTGCCTATTTTAAAAAAGCAGAATCTTTAAAAATATAAATTTTTCTTTGTTGAAAAAATTCTTTAAATTTTTAAATAAAAATGTTTAAAATTTATAGTGTTTTTATAACATTGCCATTTGTGTTTATTAAATATTTGTAATAGAAAGAGCATCGAAACACGAGGCTATCTGATTTGTACGAGGGGGCGTAGGCCCCGAGTATTAATCAGATTGCCGAGTGTTTTGGTGTTCTTTCTCTTTTGTATCATAGTCAAACATAAAAGCACGTTCCCTGTTGTCACAATATGAAACCCCGGCAAAAATGAACCAATGAACGAACATCAGAATATGAACATTTCTGTCGCTTTCCCTTTCTCTGCCGTCACAATATGTAAACCCCAGCAAAAATGAGCCAATCAATGGGCATGCTCTGGAGTGCGGGTAACTAATACCCGCACTCCAGTTAACGCACTGTGCATGTATATGTATACCATTTAACTCTGACACATTTTCAACAGAAAGGTCTCCAAACTATGATACAATTTGAAGATAAATAATTTTAATGTACTTAATAAAGTGGTAATAAACTTTTTAGTTGTTGGTTACAAGTAATGGTTATCTTATGATAGAAGTAATTATATGTCCTAACACAAATAATTCATTTATTGTGATTTGTATCACAAATATATAACATATACCTATTTATTTTGTTGGAATTGAATATATCCTTCTTCCATTTACAAAAGATGAAAATGTTATTTTCGATAAGAACTAACAAAAGGTTCAAATACTTATTTAAAGCAGCATGCCTTCAGATTCATGCTAATTGTCAAATAAATGTTTATTATGTATATAATAAAATGTTTTTAAATAAGTAAAATACTTTGAAGTGAACACACGGCAAACGGTACTCAAAATCTACGACAATTACCAAATAAAAATATGCAAGAATATCCCTTACTGCGTTAGTCACGCAGAAGAATTAAAATGTAAAATACATCAAAATCAGTCATTAATTGCATAATATATATAGTTATTTCTTGAATTGTATTTTATTTTATTTTACTTTTCTTTAACTCTTTGAAAGTTTTTCTCAAAGGTTGATTTTTTAATTGATTAAGCTTATATGCAGGCGTCTGCAGCTTCAGAAAATAAAATGCTTTTTATAATGACCTTAGAATTTTTTTCTAAAATCTTCTAAAATTAAACTGAAATGTTCTTACACATGTGACTTAAAAATTAGGGAAAATTGAAAATATAAGGTATTTAATATTTGATTTAAAACTTTAACCGTTGAAAATCGTTTCTTTCAGCAAAAAATGAAAAAGACCAAAAAAAACAAAATGCTGGCATATTGGCAATAAAATTTAATTTAAAACTTGGGTTATTAGAAACGTTTGGGCCAGAAAATGGTAAATAAAAAGTGGTTCCCCCTTTGTCCTTTTTGATTTTTTTCATAAATTTTTCCCTTTTTTTTTATAAACCCGCAGATAAATTTTGGGGCATTAGAGTACGAGAAAGTCCAAGTTTAAAGAAAAAACCGGGGTATGAAAGTTCTGTTTTTAAAAATACTCTTTAAAGGGGGTGTATATTTTTTAAAGCTACATGGGACACTATTTTGTGCTGGCCCGCAGCTCGTGCCGGCTCAACAATTAGACTTCCCTGCCCCCCTCTGCCGGGTCTTGATCCAGAAAGTAAGTTATAAAAAATATCTTTACTGCATATGTATTTTGAAAAAAAATATCTTAACTTATCTTTACCGCATAATAGTCTTACTATCCTATCGCTATTTATAATCTTTTTTTTTCCGTTAAATATTTTAATACTTTAATAAATATGAGAATCTGGTCTATTGTTAACGTATAGATCTTCATTAACTAATAACTGTTAAACGTTGTTTTTTCCACAAAGCAAGCCTCATTTTGCGTAAAATACTGATAATATTACATAATTTATTCATTTTTACTCTTAAAGCAACATGCCTGCAGTTTTATATTGAAATCTTTGTTTATTTGTTACAAGTTTCAAAAAAATCGTTTTAGCTACAACAGGCACATATTGAGCAACCTTTTTTTTACTATTTAAAGAGTTCGGATACAAGACATGTGGACCAGAGGGATTGTGGGAAGGGAAATATCCTGGGGACTACAGTATGCCAAGAGGATACACAAATTACACTGACTGTTATACCCCGGAAACATTGGATCTATACAAACGTTTTTACTCATCTAAAACAGCTGCTCAAAAACAGGTAGGCTTCATATGATAAATGCATATCCTTGTGCAGATATTTACATAAAAATATTTATATTCATTTATTAATTTATGAGCAATTAAAAGTGTTCGATACTTTTAGTACTTAAGCAAGTACAAAGACAAACGGGTTTTTGGAATGCATCAAAGTGCATGGGTATAGTTTAAACAAGGTGCATTGATTTCATATATATGATTCGCTGCAAGTCTGAGATTAAAAGTAATGTATGAACCAAATATTCTAAATTGCATTATCTTAAACAGAATATAAAGATTAAATATTTTTTCCATTTATATCAAACTAATAATAACTACCATATATCGGTTAAAGTACATAACCGAGATAAATTAAAATACCACAAGGTATTAACGGATAATTTTCTTATAAGATATGGTACTTTTTTAACCTTAGAGATGTTTTACAGTGAATTCAACCAACCATCCTCTCATTTCTCTCAACTCTATATTTATTCCGCTCCATCATACAAAATAATCTGATTTATTCCGAGACTTTTTAATTAATGAACTTGTAAAACATAAAACGTATGTATTTCTATACACGTTTTCAGTACGATCTTGATTCAAAAGAAAGAAAAAACACTTCAGTTTGAACAAAATCAATATTTTTACAAATATTTTACAGTTCATTGTCAAAATATGTGTAAGCGTAAAATGTTTCAATGCCCTTTATTATATTATTTGGCCCAGACAGTATGTAAGAAATACTTATCATCTTGCGTTTAAACCATTTTCAGATGATGAAAGACGTAATTAATGGCACAAGAACAATGGATGTTGTTGGTCTGTGGTTATCTCTTGTCTCATCATTGCTCTCTCTATTTATCTTTAGTTATTTCAGGTAAGCATTAAAGTTTTATCTTAAGTTATTTCAGGTTAGCATAGCATGTTTTACCTTTAGTTATTTCAGGTAAGTATAGCATATCTTTCCTTAAGTTATTTCAGGTAAGCAACCGATGTTTCAAATCAGTGTTATTGAAGATGGTCATAATGATTAAATCAGTTTTTTCATTCTTGATAACGCCATCTTTTAGTCAAAGGCGGTGTGCTTTGCACATGTGACTTAATCTGTATATACCGTACAGTCATTTGTATAATATTCTCTTTTTAAATATAATGAAGTATTATGAATATTTAACTGGAACAGATACCTTAACTGACTGGTTACCTGAAATATCAACATCGAATGTTTTCAAAGGATAATGGTGTATGAAAAAGTTATTTAGTTTTAAAATCGCCACTTAACTATTGGGAGTATTTTATCATTTTAGTTTATAAACATACGTTTTTAAACAAAATTTATTTTAGATCGATTGTGTGAAAAGCTATAAGAATAAAGATACGTTCCTAGACATAACCAGTACTTAGCAATGGATTTACTGCTTCTTGCTCAAAAAAAGAACGACTTGCATCTTATTTCAGAATTTATAAACTTTGAGCTAGTTAAAATCTATTTTTCTTCAATAAAAGTTTGTAAGCAATTATTTTTTGTGTGTTTCCTCTTTATTCAATACAGATAATAAATTTATAACCAAGCAATGTTAGAATTTTTTTTTCAACATTATGTAATTTTTATAATTTTAGAAGTCTTCGTTGCCATCGAACACGCATACATCGAAACTTATTTCTTGCCATCATCGTTCAAGTGTTTATACGTCTGATTGTCTACGTGGATCAGTTTGTGGCTAGGGTACAGGGTGGTGAAATTGCTGGTACTGCGAGTGGAATGAGTGGTGCTATTTATGATACAGTAAGTACAACCATAATCATGAATTGTGTTATTCATGATGTTTAATGTTATAATCAGTTGCTACGAATGAGACACTAAAACTGTATAAGTACACATATTAATGTAGAAACCAACTCAAATGGCGTTGTAATATACTAGTATATGTTCATCATTTTGGTTCATTGGGAAAGGAGTAAATTATATATATACAATATTTACATAAAGATATTATTAGATTCTGCAACTGCAATTATCTGTGGTCAAAAGTAAGTGAAAATATCAGTTCGATATGTGTTTAAAAATAGTAAAATAAAAAGCATTAATCCTTAAAATATGTAAATAAACTATGTTATATCCTATCATTTCAAAAAAGTATGCGTTATTTTAGATCAAGTTACAATATCAATCAAAATCATTGTTGATGAGGCAATTATTTCATTACATAATAATTATGTGACTTTTATACTATTTTCCGGCGTCCTTTGTTTTAAGTATCATACAATTATAAATAATGTCTAATAACTGTTTGCATCGCAGCACAAAATCATGCAAATTTGTATTTTTTTACAAAAAAATAAAAATAATAAAATAAGTACAACATATAAAATGATAAAGCTGAAATTTTAGTTACAATTCCTTATAAGGAAAGTAATTATTATACATTCACAAAGGAAGTTTTGGGGGTATATAGGAGTCAGCTTGTCGGTCAGTCCGTCCGTCCGTTGGTCGGTCCACATCATGGTTTCCGGACGATAACTAGATTTTGGAAGAAGATATTGAAATCAAACTTGGTATATAGCAACCTTATGTGGTGACCCGGGTTGGTATTGCATTTTGGACCCCCTGGGGTCAAGGTCAATGCCACTGTTGCTAAAATAGAAAAATGGTTTCCGGAAAATAACTAGAGTTAGGAATGAGATATTGTAATCAAACTTGGTGTTAAGCAAGCATATATCAAGACCCTGTTTGGTATTGTGTTTGGACCACCTGGGGTCAAAGTCATCGTCACTAAAAATAAAACAAAATGGTTTTCGAACAATAACTAGAGTTAGGAATGAGATTTTGTAATTTTTGGTGTATTGCAAGCTTATCTGATTACCCCGGTTGGGATTACAATTAATTGAAATAATTATTTGCACACAGTTGATACTTCATTTATCATAGGTTCAAAAGTTCAAATTTTTCTTCAGACCACTTATTTTTCAAAAAGTCAAAGTAATTGGTGGGGGGTACTTATCATCTTCAGTGATAGGTCTGGTTTTTTGTTTGCCTGTGATAAACTATTACACGCTTTTTATGCACTTCCAGCCTGTTCTTTGTGAAGTCCTGATCGCATTGCTGGAGTATACAAAGACGGTACAGTTTATGTGGATGCTGATTGAGGGCATGTACTTACATAACCAGATTGCAGTATCTGTCTTCTCAAAGAACCCTAACTATATGATATTTTATGCAATGGGATGGGGTAAGAATCGTTTTCGAAATAACGTTGTTTCTATTGTTAAATGTAGAGAACAAACACAATGTTGCTTTTCTTGAAGTAATATAAATTCACAGGTTTTAGATTAATTTCACTGTCTTGTAATTACTGGTAACATTTTCGTGTTGATTAAATTTAACCGTCCAAGATTTAACCGTAGACATGTATTAATGTTGCTTAAGTCGGTACTTTACTAAGTGGTATGCACAGTAGCTACCGTCTATAAAAGGCTTAACCAGGGCTTGTAATATTTTCAAATTTGATATTTCCGGCGTTCTTTAGGGATTGTGCTTCTAACTCTTTTATTAGTTTGCAAGAAGTATCGTTTCTTTTTAAGGTTCCCCTCTTCCAGTAACGATCGTCTGGTGTATTGTTATGGAATTGTCTTTCAAATCAAAGTAAGTGTTTTCTTTAGTAGGGACAGTAAGTTATTGCTTATTTGCTCACAATGGGTTCATATACGTATATCGGGTACTATAGACGGTTGATGATCGCATGATGAATAAAGCTGCTGTAAAGTCGCAGGATACACCTTTCATTTCAAACCATCATAATCAGTAAAATATGATTTATATCTTAATTGACAAACCAACTTTATTAGTTTTATCTCTTTTATTGCTCTTTGTGTGACTCCTCCTTTATGAAACATAGGAAATATTTGTGACAAAACATAAGAGCATTCATAATTTGAAATTTGATTTTTCTAATTGTAGTACAATTTTGATTGACAAACCAACTTTATTAGTTTATTTATTTATTTTATTGCTCTTTGTGTGACTCCTCCTTTATGAATCATAGTAAATATTTGTGTCAGAACATAAGAGAATTCATAATTTGATATTTGATTTTTCTAATTGTATAAATGTTGTACAAATTACCGTATTTGATTTTATTATATGATTGCTTAATTGTCATAAAATATTAATTGATGTTTTGGGTTGATACTTCCTAATTTGACGAACCGAGCAGAATTATTTCCAATTACAGAATTATAGATATTCATATACGTGCTATGCAAAAAGTTTTTTTCAGATAACAGTAAGATCATATTATGACATTCAATGCAACTGTATCTACTAATATAAGTATTCCCTCAAAAAGCGTTAATTTATTTAGTTAAATAATTCAAGCTTTAAGGATTTATTACAGATATGTTGCAAATAAGTTTTGAAATTGATCTTTGTTTTCTTTTTTTGCAAAAATGTAAGAGGTAATGTCTCTTTTTCTTATTATGCAATTAAATATTTTTCAGATGCTGGTTTCCATATTATTACTCGGATTATATTTGGATCATTGAAGTTCCGCGTATCGGAGTAATTTTTGTAAGTATAAATCATGAGGATCACCACAATTCTGATTCAAGTATTTCAAATTTAATTAATGCAATGTTACTATCTCCGCAAAAGCAAAATCAACATAGAGTATATAATATTTTTAAGTTATATTTGGTGTCACATTCAGTCTTTAAAGATATATTATAAATCTCATCGAAATTATTCATGTATTGCTTATGATTTTTAGCTCGACTATTCGATAAGAATAAGTAGAGCTATTGTAGTCACCCGAGCGTCGGCGTCGGCGTAACCAATTATGTTAAAGTTTTTGTAATAGTTTAAATATTTTCAAAGTCCATTGACATATGGCTTTGAAACTTTGCACACTTGTTCACCATCATTACCCCAACCTGTAGACAGGAGGAGGTAACTCTATCAAGCATTTTGACAGAATTATGCCCCTTGTTTGACTTAGAATTTACGTTAAAGTTTTTGTAATACCTCAAATATTTTCAAAGTCCATTTACATATGGCTTTGAAACTTTGCACACTTGTTTACCATCATGACCCCAACCTGTAGACAAAAGGAGGTAACTCTTTCAAGCACTTTGACAGAATTATGCCCCTTTTTCGACTTAGAATTTACGTTAAAGTTTTTGTATTACCTCAAATATTTTCAAAATTCATTGACATAAGGCTTTGAAACATGTTGAAATTTTATACTCTCTCCAAGGCCTATAACTGTTATATGGATTTAAAGAAAAAATTTGCCTTTTTTTTTACATAGAAAATTTTACCTTTTAATCAAGGCTTTTTTTACTATCAAGCACTAAGAATAGTCGAGCGTTGCTGTCCTACCGACAGCTCTTGTTTTAAATCTCGAATATCCACATATTTTGTTTCGTTTGCTAAAAATTAATGCAATATTTGTTAGTTTATATCTGCCACATTTACATTACTTTTTATGCCAACCTAAATATTTGACAATTAAGTTAACTATTGTGATGTCGTTTCAGGTGAATTTGTTGTTTTTGTTGAATATATTACGTGTGTTGGTGTTGAAATTACAAGACAGCCGTCATGCGAACGAGGCTCAATATGTTAAAGTCAGGTATGTTAATAAATATAAATTATATCTACCAATATCAAAAGTAGGACTTATAATATCAACTTATCACTAAGGTATACAATTCCAATTTCTCATGACAGTGACATTTGTTGCAGTAAATGTTCATGCGTATTTTTCTTTCAGAAAGTTTTAAAATTAATATACTTTCTGACATTTGGTAATCTAATTATATGTACTGATAACTTTTTACTGATTGGCAAGTGGGATTCGTTTCGATTCTATGCAGTATATATTTAGATATATGCATATATGCAATATTAAAATTGATGTCGTTTAATATTTAATACTTTTCTGCCTTTTAAATGAACTATAATAACTATCTAAATTTGTTGTTGTATATGTCTATACCCATCTACCCTTATCATGTACTTAATTTTTCAGGAAAGCGATCAAGGCAGCCTTATTTCTGTTACCATTGCTTGGCATTACAAACTTTGTCGTTATGATTGAGAGTCCAACTGATGCTATAGCGTTTGCAATTTGGTCGTACTTGTCACATTTTCTAGTGTCTTTTCAAGGATTTCTGATATCTCTCTTATACTGCTTCCTGAATGGAGAGGTGAGTGAGTCTTTATGATCTCTGGTGTTTGATGTTTTAACAAACAATACGAACTGTTATTTCAAAATATACTTCGATGTTCGGGGCCAGAATAACTAGATATTGATTGACAAATAATCATGTGAGAAAACGTTTGTTGACATTTTAATATATTGAAATATGTCATAGTCACATCATATATTGTTAATTGTTTCTTGATAACTATTCAAGTTTTATAAAGCTTTATATCTGTTTTACAATTGGAGTGTGTTCATCTAAAGTTTTTTTACATGTATGACACTGGAAAATAGCGTGTCAAATTGGAATGATTTTCAAATGTTTCGAAATACCAAACTTTCACTCCAAAAATCACAAATACGATGCCAATTTGGTCATTTTTCAGATGGCCAATCATGTTTCTGAAACTTCATTTCAAGAGAGAAATAAGTATAATTATATAGTAAATGTTCAACTTCCTTTAAGCTTCGGAAATTATTTTTTTGGAAATAAATAGTGCAGTGTCGTGTTAAATGTGTTTAAAAAGGCAACTAAAAGTATCAGATAATAAAAGGAATTTCAATAATTAATCCATTCACGCATGAACGAAGTTACAAAACATAATCAAAAGTCAGCTATTATTTCAAGTAAATACGTATTCGACACAAAATTATTTTGTAACTCTGGTGAAGACAGTTTTACATCGTATCAAACCAATTGAATAATAATAGGTACATTTCCAAATTTCATGTTGAACAAAAGCTTAGGTGTTTCATTTCCATTTATTGTCATCTAGGTTGAGAACACTTAACTGGAATTAAATACACAAAATAAAAGGTTTACGTCCATCGACCCTAAACAGTTCCATAATTTAAGCTAAAGTGTTTATATTTTGAGTTATTATTATGAGCCTCCTAAGCCGAATGGCTCATTTTCTTGCCCTCATCGCTTTGGGTTCGAATTTCATCAAGGACATTTGATTTTTTCATGTGAAAAAACTATCGAGCTAGCTTGTGAAAGATCGGTGGTTCTGTATAGGTACCTGCTTGTGCCTGAAATAATTCACGAAAGGGCAGCTAATGTTTCCATCACCTGCAGGAAAGTCGTCATACAAGGTGTATGTACTTACAATCCATCAGAACAAATATGTTTTATTATTTTCTAAATTACAAAACGGGTGATGAAAATGAAAAAAGAATGTACGATGAAGTGTTTACAAATACAATAGAGATCGATACTTATTATTCATGGAATTATTCACAGGTACAGGTAACGTTAAGACGACACTTTTGTTTATCATCGGCAATGTCTTCGGAAGTGTCAAGGAATTCTATTAGAGTGTATCCCCCTCCAAGAACTGAATCTAATTCCTTACTCCTAAATGTAAGACTGAATGTTTGATATATACACATGCTTTTACTGAGAAGGAAAGGAGAATGATCCTTGATTAATTAATAACATGCGTGTATAAATGTTCTGCCAAGCATTTGAATAACACCTTAACATTTATTCACTCAAGGAATATTTCTCCCGAAATTCACAGTAAATTTACTTTTGCCACTGTACAGTCTCGTAACGTTTCTTTCTTTCTATTTTAACACTTATTTTGCTAATTGGTGGTTCTTTTCTGTGTGTCCCTAGGTACAACATACTTTGAGAAAGAGGTGGGGACGGTGTCGCCAGCGACGCATGGTCCATAATTCCAGTTTCCGGCGCTTCAGCCGGTCCTTTTCTGTGTTTACGTCTGTTACAGAGGTACCTCATTCCAACAATCAGGTACTATACGTTTCTGCATGATAAGGTTTTAGGGTACATTCTTGCGTACATTTAAGAAAGTAGTTTTTATTGAATCTTGTACAATTTTCATATCATTGGCAGTCATTCCTCCATAGAACAAATTAGAAAAATCTGCAGCTTTTTGTGTAATTATTCCATGTTATTTATACTCCCTCCATGTTTAGTAAAAATGGAGTAAAACATTGGTTTAATATTCAAGCTGTTGAGAATATGAAATGATAATATAAAAAAAAACACTTTCCCAAAAATAAAGATTCATTTTTGTCGAAATTCCAGAAATGAATAAAAGAGATGTTAACATGTTTTGTATCATTAAAGTAATATATATTTCATTCCTTCAATACATTTACATATACTATTATGAGGTACCTCGATTGTCAATATATGTACATATTTTGCATGGATGCATGGCTTGTCTATCGTATTTATTTTCATTTTAAACATTTTCAAAGACGCAAAAATCCGGTGATTAGATCAATATGTACAAACACTATATTTGATGCCTATTAAAACAAGTAAAATGATTAAAAGGAAACAAATCCTTTTTTAATTTATAGTTTTTTATGATACATTACAGCTATCAAATTTGTTGAACTATTTTTAACTTTATACTCACGTTTGCAGAAAACGCGGTTTATTCCGTGCATGTAAATGTCTAGGAAATATTTAGAAAAAAATAAGCACTTCTATAGGAGGGTCAGTTACTTATATTGGATGAAAATAATTGAAACCGAAAAAATTAAAGTATATGTCTATATGTCAGTTATGTCTTTTTATGAGAATCTAATACAAAGCGACTTACAAAACATGCGAACTTTAGAGAATGGACAATCAAGTGCATTATTAAGGCATGAAAACATTTATTTAAAAGCCAGAAGCAACTGGTTACATCAGATAATATGGAGATAGCATTCCTTGAATTATTATAATCATCATCGCGAGACACTGCATTCAGACAGATATCATGTTTAATTAAATGCTCAAACAGGTCAGTTACCTATTGAAGGCAACCACGTTCGACACATGAGATTCTGACTTCTCTAATTATTCAACAAATATTCTCAATTGGTTTATCACAATTTCTTTTCAAGAAAAGTATTAAATGATTATTAATGACAAAAGTTGCAAATTCTAGACATTCTTGGAATCAAACTAAAACTAAATCACAGGGCTCACCATGCCCAACGGTAAATATAATTTAAAGATGTGCTATATTGAATATTTAAACAGAAATCTTTGAGAGATTGTCCTTCATTTATGTATATCTTTCTAAAATCAAAGTTATACAAATATATAATGATAAATAATAATCGTAACATCTTCATATAACATTATCTTACATTTTCATTTACTGTTTATCTTCCTTTCAGGTACGAGGACAGGCATCTGGTCAGTATAACTGTAATGCTGCACCTTTATTGAGAAATATAATTTCCCGACAAGGTCAAGAATCTGGAGTGTAACCATGACATGTTGAGAAAATCGTATTCTATACGATTTAAAAGGATCATAAACGTATGTTAATGAACATATTAAGGACGATGAACATTTCATACTGATATATAATGATAAATGGTAATACATTTCAAATCCATGTGTTTTTATTTCCATATCTTGTTTTCATTTATTGCTGATTTTTACATTCATTTTCCTTTCATTTTAATGTATGTATTTTTCTGTGGAAGTTCTATTTCTATTTCCAGACGACATGCATTTTAATTGTTTGACATTCGCGTAGCTGGCAAGATATCATTTTGATGTCATGATTATAATAAGTCAAAGATTACACATTATGAGGTAATGGTATTTAATGGTGTTTTTTGTCTTTTTTTTTTCATTTGATTCATTTGAACAACTTTTCTCTCATTCTCTAACAGATGGTAAAGTTTTAGTGTTGTATAAATCTACATTCATGACGTCAAAGAAAACATGTACATGTCTTACTTTCCAACTTTAGCTTAATATCAATTCTTTGTTTGTATATAATTATTGTTTCGTTTTTTTTATTGTGTAAAATAACAACAGAATGTACAATATTGCGATATATACCATGAGCTTAAATATTAAAAAAATAATTTTAAAAGGAACATAAACGTATATTATGTATTTGAACATAAAATATATTAACTCTTAAATAAAATTGACCAATGTAAGAAAGATTCACAGGCACATGTATTCCTGACCCTGAAATGTTGTTCAAAGCGTTATAGTTAGTATAAATTGAGCTGCGTCATGACAAAACCAACATAGTGCGTCTGCGACCAGCATAGATCCAGACCAGCCTGCGCATCCGCGCAGTCTGATCAGGATCCATGCTGTTCGCTATCGGTTTCTCTACTTGTTATAGAGTTTGTCTGCGAACACCATGGATCCTGATCAGACTGCGCGGATGCGCAGGCTGGTCTATATCCATGCTGATCGCAAACCTATTATGTTGGTTTTGTCGTGACGCGGCTCAATTTTGTTACATTGATCATACAATTATACAATTACAATTATATATAGGGCTAAGTTTGTTTGTTTGTTTATATGTTTATTTGTTTGTTTGTTTGTTATTTCTTTTGTAATTGCTGCTGTCTGTTTTGTCAAGTAAATAGATATTTTTTTATTTATTCTTATTAAGTTACTCCTGCGGTAAATAATACTGAATGTTAACAAAAATGGCACTACTATGTTTTATTATATTACATGTCTATTGTTATGACTTTTTAAGTATGCGTATAAAACAAATACACATTGTTTACACATTATTTCAAAATTTAGATATTAACTTTATATACATTTATGTCTAACAAGTACCTATGTAACATAGTTTGATATGAGGTCTAATTGTCTACGTCATTTGTATATGTGAACCAGATGTATGAACATGTTTAACACTTGTGTTTCACTTTGATTGTCAGTTACAAAAAGTATCATTTTAATTAAACTGTTACATGATATCGATGCGCGGTGTGGTAAATCAGACAAGATAACATTATAAGTTCTATTTTTGACATAATTCTATTCAATGTAATATTTTTGTCGTCGTTATTCTACATTTTCATGTATAGATATTTGAAACATGGTATTTCTGCTGTTAGTTTGAATACATGATGATGGTCTAATAAAAAATTAAACACAAATTATGTTGGTTTGTTTTATTTCACAGTGTTTGACATTATAAGTTTGCGTTTCTAAATTCCAATCGATAAACGGTTCCCATCAATATTGCATTCAAGTTTTACACATAGAAATAACATTTCTTCTAAGAATTTGTTTATTCTTTGTTCATATTACAAAACAGTACATAATCCGCAAAATAATCAGCTATGTCTTATATTATTTGTAGTATAAGTACGAAGGTGTGAGAGATGTTTTTATATTCAATTTTTCCTAAAAACATATTTTAATACAACCTCTCTGCTCTTTTAACCGAGTAGGCAACATTTACCATTTTGGCGTTTTGGTCGATGTTTAGAGATTTAGTTATAGTAGTAACTAAAGGTCTTATGTACATTGACAAACAAAACTATTTCAGTTCAGATACTTTGGAAGATTCAAAGATTCTTATCAAGATACAAACAGTAATAATATGTCTTTAACAGACAGTCCAATATTGATAAATTTTCTTTAAGTCGTTTAAAGTTTTCGATGAGTATAACTATTTTAGTTTTAAACTGTATTGTTCTTCAGAAAATGGTTATTTTCTTTTTCTTCCTTGAATTAAACGTCAGTCAAATACTTGTATTATCGTGTTATTGTAATCTCTATCTTCACTGAGTAACTGTCTTTATAAAATGCGTACACACATATCAATATGAAAAGAAACTTCGTTTTAAATTGTAACAATGACACAGTTTAAGTTCATACATAAGTCGATCACAGTTAAACGATGAGCTTACAAAGAGCACAGTACTTATTTGATATTTCTTAAAACATTGTTATTTGCAATATTCTTGGCAATTTTACAAATTGTAATTGAAGTAAAAGCTTATGTGACAGAAGCTTCAAGGAGACATGCGTAGGTTAATTGTTTGTCAAACATATCTTTATAATTTTGACATAAAATAATAACAATTTATCAAAATACATAAGATTTTCGGACATTTCCCTTCCTTGTTTGCTTTATATATTAGACTTCACCTTGTTTCAAGTAACTTAAGTTATAATCTACACAAGTTATATATGGTGATATAGGGTATTATCTTAAAAGACTATATTCACAAAATAATAAAAAGCAATATCAATCATAAGCATATCGGTTAAGTTTATGGACGCACGTATACTGAATTGCTTCAAACAATCTTCACATAACAATGACTCATTTTAAAGTCTTTCCTCGCTTTTTAATATCTTAACCTTATCTTTACTTAGAAAATATAGTTAAACGCTCCAATGTATGAAAAAAGATAACATCAGATAAGGATCACCTAATCATGTTTTTATGTATTTCTATAGTTCAGATCATTCATTATTGTAAGCAAGAAAGGATTTTAGGGAGTCCGACAATATTTCTGAAGAAGTACTGTAGCTTACAGAGACTGCCATTTATCGTGCAACATTTGCTAAGATGTCTATTTTGCATTAACATCCAAAATGATATAACCACCGTGCTTTTAGATATGCAAGTATGATATTTATAAAAGACATTCAATGTTCAATAAAACTATTTTCTTTTTTTAATTTTAAAAAAATATCATGATAAGATGATATGAGATTTAAATGAAATATAAAAGTTCAGTTGCCTCAAGCTGTTGTTAGTAAATCAACACTGTAAATAAAGCTTAAGTAATGACCGCTCATGCTTAGAGCATAAATTCTAAAAATGATTATTTATAACCATTTAGTGACACCACACAACGGACCCTTAGGGTTGGTTTTGTATAATTGTGTCAATAAAATTAATGTTCAACAGAATTTTACTTTCGGTGTACTTGTTATGACTTGTCCAATTTAACTGAAAGCAACCCTTGTCGTTTCATTAATGTGATTGTTCTTTTGTTCGTAAGGCTTCTTTATTATTCAACATAAAGTCCCAATAATAACCAACGATAAGCTGCCTGCCTTAAATTCATCTACTTTTCTTTATAAAAATAGACAATTCCACAAATACACATGAACGTGTCGTGGCCCGAGGTAAAAATATGTCTAATGTTCAAAAATAGTTCTTTCAAATGTGATATTTGTTGTTATGCCCTAAAAGTGTGTTATTTTTACTTACACGCTTTTAGGCAAAACAATGGTGTTCAATGAGATATATCTTTTTAACGCAATAAGTTCAATTTTAATAATACCACTCCCTTTGCTGTTCAGATGAAATGATATTCTCAGGTCTTAACTCATAACTTCATGGCCAAATCCGTGAACTTTAAGCATAATCTGACTCGATTTGAAATGAATGTTCTTAGTGAATACTTAGATATACTTGTCATACAATGATTTTAAGTCAGTAACTACGCCGGTTATCGACATATTTCCTTAAACAGGCAAATGTTTTGATTCCCGGGTGCTGTGCTGTTGTTATTTGTTTTTATTTTTTATTTCATTTGTTCTCTCGTTAAAATCAATATGCTAAATATTTTATTTGGGCATATACAGTTGACAGAATGAAAACTGTTTAACATAATTAATTGAGAATGTAGATGATGTTAGTATATGACAACAGAAACATTTTAAGCAAAGTCAATTAATTGTGACTATTAAAAACTGTAGCTTACCCCTTTAATCTCTGCCTTCATTTTCATTACAGAATAAGGACAATTTTTAATTTATGATAAGTTACTCTGAAATACTATAAATAACCAAAATAAACTCAAATTCATGAGTTCTTCCTATATTTTGCTGATGACAATGTTGAATGATTATCCTGTTTTAGAGCATGTAATTTCATTTCTAATTGTGTGGTTTAAAGGCAATACCGATATAGGAAATGTTATTAAAAAAATAACAACAATCATACGTTTTGTTAAAAGTACAAGTTATAATGTTACATTTATAAAATGTCATAAGAGTGCATTTATAACTTGCGAATCACGATTATTTCTCTAATATAATTATCAAATAGTTAAGAGACGTAATATTTCCACACAACCTATTGAAAAGCATTGGAACGAGCTGTTCAATGACCACAAAGTCCTGGTTGTAGAAAACGATGCCATAGACTTAATATAGCCATACCTTAATGTACGAGAAAACGTCTGAAAGGAAATAAATCACCACCTGGAAAGTTGTTTTCTTATAAATAGAGTTTAAGATTTTTAATTCATTGACCAAACTTAAATAAAGACAAAGCCCTATTAGTCTCATATTTGTTATAATTTCTTTTAGCATAGGGTTGCATTTTCCTATAAAGTAATAAATACTTTATTGTTTTCTTTTTTCTTCAGGCTTTATTAACTTTCACTTTCAATTATTTCTAACATAATCCTAATAAAAATTTAAATAGCATAACATAACATAATATTTATTCAGCATTAAATGTTACAACATTTATAGCCATTTCAATATATAAATATATAATTTAAATGTGCGTGTCCTCAAATCATTGACATGATGTTAACATAATAATGTTTCAAACAACACAATGATCTAATTTAATTATGAATCCCATTATCATCGCATAATTGCAATATAGTTTTTTGTCCTTGCTATATACGGGTAAAAAGACATAAATAAATAAAAAGAAGATTACAATGATAGCAGTGCGACACAACCATTACCAAAATATCAAACATTCAATTAATACTTGATAACGAGACCTGCACAAGGAAACACGGAGGGTTACTGTTATGGAACATTCAGAAGCATCAACACTAACAGGCGGAAAACTGGTAAAAGTTACACAAAGAATGTTCCAGGTAAACAATGATTAACCGCCAAGCGAACTTCTAACAGGCAGTGAACTTACATGTAAATACCCTAATGTCTTAAAAGAAGGTCGAACA